GCCTGTTCTCCATTGGCTCATTTGCAAATTTTTGTTTGAAACTTGTTTCTCTGTCACATAGTACCTTGGTGTTTTATAGTCTCCTTGCCATACCTTACGTCTCTGTTGCTCTATGATGAATTCTGTATTTTCTCAGTGCTAATGTGATTCATTCATTCATTCTCTTTTTTAGCCTATTTCATCTACCACTTTGTCCATTCATTAAGTTTTAAGTAGCAATTATTATATATGTATTGCATATTTTACTATATAGGAAAGCGCATAACATAAAGTTTACCAGAAAATATAAGTCAAGAACTCAAAATCCCCATCCAGGTCAAGCCGTGTAATAATATAGCCCATTCTCCAGAGCTCCAGCACCTCTTCCCTTCTATGTAGCAGAAACCATACTGTCTGGGTTATTTATGGTTTTTTACTGTTTTTATTTCACTGTTTTTCATTACAGAATGTATATATGCAATCTAAACAAATAATTATGGATTCTGATTTATGTGCCAACTTTCAACGTTTTGTCTTTAAGATGTATGTATAGTGCTACAGTATCTATATTTCATTTATTTTCTTTTCTGTAATATATTTCATACTATAGCTATAATATACTTTGTCAAATATTCTATTGAGAAAATAGATGTTTGGGTGGTTTGCAATATTTGTCTTCTCCAAATTCAACTTAACTTCCTTTTTTGTGGTCACTAGCTCATAGATCTGATTCTTTTTTAGTTGCAGCCAGTTTATTCAGTTATTTTCATGGAACATTTCTCCTCATTTCTTATGTTGTTAACTTTGTGTCTGTTATTTTAAGCAGACATTTTATTTGTACAGTAGGTCTGAGTGTCTTGGGTTTATTTTTCCTTCTGGTTGTTGTCTTGCCCTGTTTTGCAATTTTGGATTGCTACCTCATTTTTAGCTCTACTTTATCACTAGGAATTCTAAACTTTCAGTGTGTCCCTTAAAGGAGATTTATTTCTTGCTTTTGCCAAGAACTATGAATTATTGTATTAGGACTTCCTGATAAAGTAAGTCTTGTAATACTTAAATATCAGAAGAAACTGTGTATTTCCTCATACTCAGGTTCAGGACAAGATTGCTTTTTTTTCCTCCAACTTCTTTTCTTTCTTTGGTGACGCTGGTTCCTGTCTGTCTATAGTCTCCCTCTCATTTGTTCTTCAATACTTCTTCCCCTCTCTCCTTGTTTCCCTGACTTCCTCCCTTTCTTCCCTTCTCCTTGCTCCCTATTTCTTTCTGTCTTTTTAAATACCCCACAATACTGAGGATGTAGCACTTTGTTTGCCATCGGTCTTTATCTGGTGATCTTCAAAGTTCTGAGTCTTGCAGGCCTGAGAACTATCCCTTTTCCCAGGAGAGCCTTAATTCTCTTTCCTTGGTTACCTGGACTGGGCAGCCTCTTTCAGGACTGCAGAATGCTCATGTACAGTCTCTGAATTTTAGATTTCTCTTTGTTTTTGACTCCCCCCACCTTTTTTTTTTAACCAGATGAACTTTGTATTTTTAAGAGGCTGCATTTATTTTGTTGAGTATCCTTGTTATTTTATAGAGGAAACATATTTTGGCTTCTCTGCTATACCAGTCTATTGACATTCTGTACCAGATTACATCATATTTCAGGTTTTTTTTTTTTTTTTTAAGATTTATTTATTTATTTATACAAGCACTGGGTACAGTCAGAGCACGGGAGGGTGAGAGAATTCACCAGAGCCAGAGCAGGGAACAGAACAGGCAAACGGATGAAGTACACTGTTGAGGGGAGCAGCGGGTACGGCAGGAGAGGTCTGCGCGCCATGTGGGACCCTTGCCGGGGGTTGGGGATCGAACTGGCACTGCAGAGGCTGTGGGCGGCTTCACAGCCAATGGCTCAACTGCTGCGCCACCAGGGAAGGCCCATATTTCAGGTTTTTAGAGTTGTTTCTGTTTGGTTTTTGGTGCCAGAATCAGAAACTCAAATGAATGAAAGCAAAAGGGGGATTTGTTGACTCTGTTCCTGAGAAATAGATGACTTTTCGGGATCAGTTATAGGTAGATTCAGTTCTTGAACAATATCACTTGAGCTTGCTCTCTCCCTGCATTAACCCTACTTTCCTCAGTGATGGGTATGTTTTTCTGACTTTATTTGCCATTTAACTAGGGAAAGCCATCACTGCAATTTCTAGGATTTAAGTATCCTTACAGTTTATGATCTGTCTTGTGTTATGTAGCATTTTAACATCAAATTCTAAGGAAAACTATTTTACATAATTATACCACTTTGCCCTTTTTGAACCTGTTATGTAGCCCGTGGGCTTATTTTTCCAGTTAGCCTGACTTGGTCCTGTGGTCAGCTCCGTCATAAAGGAGGATAGATATGATAGACAGCTGTACTGGCTCATGTAGATAGATAGTGGGAGGATTGGTTCCTTAGAGAGAAAACTAGTTCCATTTCCCAATGAATAGAGAAGTGCTAGGAAGACAACTATTTTATGGGTTCACACTGCATTACTTAACAAGTCATCAGACCTCTTGTCAGAAATCTAACTGAAGATTTGAGACTAATAACTTTCAACGCTATCACTATTTATGATTGGTTATTCTTTTCAGCCTCCCAATAGATTAATTACCTATTACCTAACAAACTAGATCCATTTTCTTCCATCTTTAAGTTTTATCAGTTTCATTTTCTGAAATCTCTGGGATCTGCTCATTTTTCTTATATCTAACATTTATACTGTAATTCAAGATCTAGTTCACTCTTTTCTGATCTGTCAAAATGAAATCCTTACTATTCTGTCCTTATCTATTCTGGTTCCCCTTTACTCTCATCTCCATACTGTAGTGTAATGATCTATTCAGAATGCAAATCTAGTTATGTGTTTCCAATCATACCTCAAACTTTTAAAACCTTTCATTAGACAGATCACTATTAACCATATTTGCATCTAGCCCATTACTGTCTTTCCAGCTATTCTAGGTCAATCATCCCCTCTTGTATAGATTATACATTTTTACAGTGCCACCTACCTCTCCCTTTAACATTTATTATTAATTTGACATTAGCATGAGTAAATTTGATGAATGTCTGATTTTTCTACTGGATTATAAAAGCAGACACCATATATAGAGTACATATGTAGCCATCAAATGATAAGTGTGGGATGTTTCAAGTTATATGCAAATATGTTATGTTCATGTGATAATATAAGTAGGGAATAATTTGATGGGAAATTTTGGATTATAAAGTGGTATAGATATACTGATTGAAGGCAGCAAGGAGTAGGCCTTGGACTGGTTGGGTATCTTTTTTTTCCAGTGGCAACATAATGTTATTTACATAGTTGAAAACTCCTGTCTTCCTTCTATATCCTCCAACTTTTTATATTCTATTATGTTAAAGATTTGTATGCTGCCAGAACCACTTGCTTTTAGACAAGAAGTGGGGAGTTTATACCAACTTCTGTATCAGAAAAGACTGTTGCTGTCCCTAGTGGAGCCAGAGTTAGAGCCGGGCTACTAATCCCCAGGTTTGAACACCATACTTCTAAAGATTGTTTGACAAAAGGCAGGAGGAATGGCTTTCGTTACCTCTTCTTCTGTATACTAGCCCTTCTGTTTATACTTTTAGTTTTATTCTTCCTTAGATATGTATAACCCATCTCTCCTGCAGTTCCTTTGGGACTACTGCATGTCTGGGTAAAATGAAATGACTTACATGAATAAAGATGAAAAATTTTTAATTGATATAAATAGATACAGTTTCTTTGATACTGTACAAAGGTTTGAGTTCACAATTTATACTACATATGAACTAAATGTAATAACTCTTGAACTTTCTAATAGCATTGCTGGTATCAAAATTTATGAAGAGTTGTGTATTAATTTATTCAACTGTGAAACTAGAATTTATACACTTTAGTATATTTTTTACAACTATAATGTGAATTGAGAAAAGTTGATAAAATTAGAAGATAAAAAAGAAAATGTTAGGAGTTGTGATAGAGAACAACACATTTGATAAATACAGGGACATTATTTATACCCAAGGAATTTAATCTTGTTCTCAATCTGGTAACTACTAATTTTCTATCACATGTAATACTAGTTGTGTAATTTTTCCCTTTTATATTCCTTTAAGCATCATCTTAACACAGCACAATTACTAGCCTGTGGCTAAATAAATATTGATTAGGTGAATGAATGAAGAAAAGTGGGTGAAGAGTAAATAGATGAATGACAAAATTCTATACTTCACATTGTAGATATTTTACATATCAACTGCTCATCAAAATTAAAGAGTAATCTTAATGATTTACATAATATAGAGGACAGGATTGATTTGAACATGAATTTTTAGAAGTTAGGTTTACTATATGTGAAATATAGTTTGCAAATAATATGAACTAACATAACTTGTAATTGAAATGAGATTATAAGATACATATTTTTAAATGTAGGAATAATTGTTAGAGTCAACAAAAGATGATTTTTAAACTTTTACTACCATTATTAGCCTGATTCTGGAATTATGGCAAGTAAAAATTTTGAACTTTCTACTTAAAATGAATCTGTTTTCATTTCTGAATCTTTGTAGATTTTAATTAAGTAAGATTGAACCCCAGTGTATTTTACAATACATCTCTTGTTGGATTTAATGCTTTTGATATATATCTAGGGAATATTTCTCTTACCTTTGAATCAATGTATTTAATATCTGTTGTTTTGCATGTTTGAATACTTGAATATGATTCATGATAAAGAATGTGGATTATGGTGTCAGACAAATTTGAGTTCCTGAATCTAATCTGCTGCATCTCAGCAAATTATTCAATTTAGTGAGCAAATTATTTAAATCTTAGGAGGATCTTTTGTAAAATGCAAAAGATACCTATTATAAAATTTTCTTGCAAGGTTATAATAAACTAATATATGTAAAGTGCTTAGCACAGTGTCTGGGATTTGATAGTTATTTAGTAATTGGGAACTATTTTTTCTCCACTTGTTTTGTTCTGCAGCTTTCCCCACAAATAAACCAGACAAAGATGCAAGACATGTAATAAAAGTGGTAAGTATTGTTCTTTACTAAATATGTATTTCATAAATGTTTGACTTTTTTCTTTGATGCTTTGTTCTTTTTTATTTTTGTAAACTTAGTTTTCATAATTTTACTTATCAGTAGACCTAATGTTATATTTGTATATATTAAAGTGTAAATACTAGGAAACTTTATTTTTGATTGACATTTATATTTTGCATCATATCTAGCTAGCTGTCTTTTTCCCTTCCTTTCCTCCTCCTCCCCTGCTTTACATGGTAAGTTCCTTAAATACAGGAGTGGGGTTTTCTTTTTCTTATCCTGTGTCTAGTAAAATGAATGAAGTATAGTGGACACCTAGTTAAAGTTATCATGTATGAACCACCGGAGTGGTTTGCAGCATATCCTGCTTGATGTACATGTTGGCACACATTGAGTGTCTGCGTATGTGTGTCTACAAATCTCAGTGCTATTATGCACATCTTTCCATTAGAAGACATCTTTCATGTGTAAGTCAGTATGGTGATCATATTACATTATGTGAAAATTTAAAATGAGATTCTTTAAGTCTGTTTAATGCTTTGCAGAGAATTCTAGTGGAAATATAGTGCATGTGTTTTGTAAGAAATGATTCAACTACAATTATGTGTTATATATGTATACTCAGATTTTCAGTTGAAACACTACCTGTATTTTTTAAAGATTCTTTACTAGTAACATTATTCTTTTACAGGAATATCAAGAAAATGGCCCATTATTTTCAGAACTTAAATTTTATCAAAGAGCTGCAAAAAAAGACTGTGGTAAGTAAAATTAGCATACTTCCATATGTATGCCTGTTAAGGTGACTGTTAATATATTTGTCTTTCTGGCCTTCTGGAAAACTCCTTCTGTTAGAAATTTTATTGTAAAATGATAGTGTTTATAAGTTTAAAAAGCAAGATGAATGGTTTACAAATCTTTATATTACGTACATGACAGGTTATATGTTTTAACTCAAAATTGTTTCTGCTTCACTTTACATAAAATATTTGGTTGTTGACATAAAAACTCTTTAAGGGTTCTCCAAGTGTAAAAGATACAGTGTAACTGTTTCTTTTACAAAACCCATTTGGATAGGAAGGATAAAAAGAAGATATTAAAACTGTGTATTGACATATCAACAAAATGAATGCTCAGAAAATGGATTGAGGTCAGGTGTATGGAAATGATTAAATGCTAAGATGATTTAGAGATAAGCTTAAAAAGTTAGAAATCTGAATGTTGGGATATTATTTGGAGCTGAATGTCAGATGTAAGAACTACCTGTTAAAGAATTTTACTGTGAAATGAATATGAGTAGAACTGAAGAATAAATGTTTTATAAATACTGTATGTGTAGATGAACTAAGTAAAACATTAAGGAATTAGGTGTGAGTAATGACTAATATAGTTAAGATTTTTACATTATGTTTAGGAAAAAGAATGATGAGTCTGGTCCCGATAATTAACTTTGCTTTTCTTATTAAAACCTCTTCACCATTAAAACTATAGTCTTTACTAACTGTTTAAACTATGTCACAGTGACAAATAGAATCCATTAAACTTGATTGTTTATCAGTAGAGCTGTCTTAAACATTAAGCATATGGTAGAAAAGTGAAAAATTAAATAAGCTGCCTGATGAATTAAGTGGATTTGTTTTTTTAATGCTAAATTTAATCAAAACAATTTCTGTATAATATAATTCAGAGCAAAATTATTTTTCTGCCCATTTTTATTTTTTTATTTTTGCTACTATGGCTTTAGATTTTTAATTACTAGGGAAGAAAAAATCATCTTTCTACTGATCCTTTAGTAGTTAGTATATTATCTTTAGAAATTTAACTAACATCTGAAATAATTTTTTCCTGTGTAGAAACATTTGTGTATATATAAAGACTGACTACTTTTATTTTGGTAATAATTGACTGAATTTTAAATTTTTGTTTGTTTTTGTGTAAATTGTTGTGATAATAAATAAAGTGAACTTTTTAAAAAATCATTTAATTAAATTTTTTTTTTCTGGAGAGATCTAATTTCTTTTCTTTTCTTTTTTTTTTTAAGATTTATATATTTAAGCATACAAGAGCTGGGGTACAGGCCAGAGATGTGGGGGGGTGAGAGGATCCATCAGAGACAGAGTGGGGAACAGAACAGTCAGATTGGCCAAAATACACTGCTGAGGGGAGCAGTGGGCAAGACAGGAGAGGTCTGCCTCGCCATGTGGGTTTCTCCCTGGCTGGCCAGGGATTGAACTTGTGCTGCAGAGGCTTCGTATTGCTTCATAGTGTGGTGCTTAACCCCTTGCGCTACCAGGGAGGCCTGAAAGATCTAATTTCTATTGAGGGTATTAGTGAAATAAATCTTAGCATCTGTGGAAAATATGAACTACTTTTCTAAAAAGCTTGCATCTTTTTCCTGTTAAATTTTCTTTGTAGTTAGAAGATGGATAGAACATAAACAACTTGATTATTTGGGAGTTCCGCTGTTTTATGGATCTGGTCTTACTGAATTTAAGGGAAGAAGGTAAATGGAATTATTATAATCAAATATTGTCTTGTAACTATTCCTTTTGTGGTCTATAAGCTATCAGTTGCTATATAAAAAATTACCCAAAGCATAGTGACTTAATAATAACAAATTAATATTTTCTTAGTTTTTGTGAATCATGACTCTGTGGCAAGGTTTCCTGACTATTTCTAGCTTGGAACTTCTCACGAAGATGGAGTCAGGGTCTGCTGGGCTGAAGTTATTTCAAGACTCAACTGGGAAAGATGTGTTTTCACAGTCACTGATGGGGCTATAGGCAGGTTGAAGATAGGTTTCAAAATTCACTGATATAATTGTTAGAGGTCTCACTTCCTTATCACATGGGTCTCTCCAATCACATGCCTGAGTGTTATAAAGACATGGCAGCTTACTTTCCCTAGAGGGGAGGCAGGGTGAGAGGAAGGAGAGAAAGCGATTGAGGTAGAACAAGATCTTACAAACAAGAACATGCATCCAAAAAGAAAATCAGTTGTTTATTTATAGTCTAATCATAGAAGTGATATCCCATCATTTTACTGTATTATCTTTGCTAGTAGCAAGTCACTACTTGAGAGGAAAATTAAGTTCTGTTTCTTAAGGAGAGGCACAATAATGAAATGGTAGAAGTGTCTTTAAACCACCAAATATAGTTAGTCATCACATATAATTCATTAAAAGTGGTTTTAAAAAAGTCATTCATTAGATACCCATTTATTCCTTTCAATAACTTTAATATAAGGGACATTATTTTTATTTCTTAGATCATAAAATAGATTCTAAGGTTGGTGCTTTTGCTCAAACATTCTTAAGAGTGTTATAAATCAAAATAAAATGAACATTAATGGAATACTATTGCAAAAACTATGGTGCATAAAAGTGCACATACAATCAGGCTTTTGTAAGACAAAGTAAAAAATCCTTTGTTTGTGTGTGTACAAAAAATAAGGATTAATGTGGGTAAGTAAAAGGAAGAAAAGAAGGGGTGCAGAAGGGCCCATTAGAGAAGGAAGAATCGCTTTTTAAAAAGGCATGTTTATGAACAAAGTAAAAGATTTTATAAGGTCAAGAAACAAACGTTGTGATCATTTCACAATGTATAGATAGTCATTACATTTATACCTGAAACCAATATAAGTTTACATATCAATTATTACACAATTTAAAAATACATGGAGCCAAAATGAAGAACTAAATTAAAAAAAAAAAAGACCTTCTGTATAGACCAAAAATTTCTTCAGCACTATATAAGAAGGTGATGTAGTAAATTTAAACTCAATACTATTTAATTGGAAAAACTATTCTCTTTTCATAATCTAAGACAGTGTGTGAATGATTTGGCACAGCATTCTTTTCTACTAGAAAACTTCCTGCAAACTAAGCGTAGTGTCTTTTTGCAAAGATAAAAGCAGTAAGATTATTAGTGCACATTCATTCTGTAGTGGTTCAGACTGCATCATACTTCATTGTTAGGTTGTGGATATTTTTCATTGTTTCAAATGTGTTAATAGTCTCAAGCATTACTATCTAAGATCTCTCAACATCTCCTTCTTATAGTTACAGATTTATGGTAATGGAAAGACTGGGAATAGATTTACAGAAGATCTCAGACCAGAATGGACCCTTTAAGAAGTCAACTGTCCTGCAGCTAGGTATCCGAATGGTAAGAATGAATGACTTATTTTACATACTCTGTTTTCAGATTATTTGCTTGCTGCAGTATACAAATCTTTGCCCTTTGTGAAATTATCAGAGAATGAAGACTTATTGCCCTAGAAATATCAGTTCTTGTAAATAGAGGCCATTTTGGTGAAATTGATAGCAGTGGGCTTTGTAAGTGACAGAATATGCTGTGTTTGGCAGTACAAACTCAATTAGGCATTGGTTCTAGGTTTGATTTTTTTTTTTCCCTCACAGCTTTTTACATACCAGAATAAACTTGCTGTAAGAAAAACCTTTCTTTTATCAGTTGTATTTATAACAATGCAAACAATATCAAAATGTATTATTTTCCATTCTAGACATATGATGGTATGTTAGTGCTGTAAAGTTTTTATTACAAGTTTGGGATGGTGGCAGTAATTAGTGTGCAATGAATAATGCATACTTTGCCAAATAAGAAGCAATGAAATCTTAATAGCACCCATGAAAACATTTAGTTTATACCACATATATCTCTTATCTTGTTTGTGTTTGGTTTGCCTAAGTTCCATTTTGTTTTATCCATTTTAAATAGAATGAAACTTCATGCCAGGGATATGGCAGGTAGAACTCATTGCTGTTTCCAGTCTCCCATTTATTTACCTAGGAAGCCTGCAAATGTTTGTTAAGCTCCAGGTATATGTAACATGTAAGCTTCAAGGACTTCAAAATGTAGCTAAGGAGTTTTCCATTACTATACAGAGGGAGAATGCCTTTCTTCGTGCTCATGGATCCCCCAAACTTGTTTTATAATAATCGCTTGGGTGAAGACTTGTTGAGTAGGCCTCTTGGTTATCTCACCATAGATCTCTGTTTTTTTTGGGTTTTTCCTCTTGCATAGCGTGATTTGGCCACGACACTCTCAAGAGCATAGGCACTAGGCATAGGCATTGTTGAATCTTGTTTTCTTTCCATCAGAGCTTCAATTAAAAGTACTTGATATTTGAGAATCAATTTATTCAACTTTTCCCCAGGATGAGCAATGAGTACATATGATATTTAGAATAAATAATGACATAATTGTGAAAAGCATCCCTTTGTCATTGATAATATGAAAAAAGTCCGCACTACGCTGTATTCAAAATGTTCGTGTTGATCATGATTTCCAAATAAATAGCAGTATAACCTTATCTGTTTCTTTTCACAGTTGGATGTATTGGAATTCATTCATGAAAATGAATATGTTCATGGTGATATAAAAGCAGCAAATCTACTTTTGGGTTACAAAAATCCAGATCAGGTAAATACAGTATTAAGCTCTTGTCTTCAGTAAATGTCCTCAAAGTATCATACTGAAACATTAAAAAACAAACTCCTAACACAAAAGAGCTTACAAATGAGACTTATCATGAATATTAAATTTGCCCTACCTTGTATATCTAATTTAAGTTTTACAATAAACTTACAAATAATTTGAATAAGGAAACAGAGACTCAGAGGGTTTAAATAATTTGTTAATGGAGATGTTGTTATGAAGTGGCTAAGCAAGAATTTGAACTTCTGAGCAAAGAGAGATAAAGAACCGTCAAAAGTCCAATGGTAAAAGTGATATATTTATGCACAGAAAAAATAAAAACCTGTCACATTAGTTCCTCTTCTAATGCATAAACCATTAAGTTGTAAACAGAGTAGAAATTTCTCTGTTGTTGGAAATATTTTCTGTTATTGTCCATTATGGTACCCATTTGCCACTTATTGGCTAATGAACATTGGAAATGTGGGTGGTATCACACTAAATGCTTGTGGGCCTGTGGAGCAACAGGAATGCTCATTCATTGCTGGTAAAAATGCAAAATGGTACAGTCATTGTGGAAGATAGTTTGGTTTGTTTCTTGTAAAGCTATATATATTTTTTTCCCAAGGAAATGTCTTATCTTTTTTTTTTCCCCAAGGAAATGTTTTATCTTTTTTTTTGAAATTAATTAATTTATTTATACAAGCACTGGGTACAGTCAGAAGCATGGGAGGGTGAGAGAATTCACCGGAGCCAGAGAGGGGAACTGAACAGGCAGACCAACGAAATACACTGCTGAGGGGAGCAGTGGGTGCGGCAGGAGAGGTCTGTGTGCCATGTGGGACCCTTGCTGGCAGCCGGGGATCGAACCAGCGCTGCAGAGGCTGCAGGCAGCTTCGCAGCCCAACTCTCAACCCCTGCGCCACCAGGGGAGGCCTCTAAAACTATATTCTTAAGATAACGATCTGGCATTCACATTCCTTGGTATTTACCCAAAGGAACTGAAAATACATATCCACACAAAAATCTACACAGAGGTGTTTATAGCAATTAAGATGCTTTTCAGTTAGTGAAAGGGTGAATAAACTGTAGTACACCCAGACTGCAGTATTACTCAGTGTTAAAGAGCCATCAACCCATGAAAAGATATGGAAGGATCTTAAATGCATAATACTGAGTGAAAAAAACCAATCTGGAGTGACTACACGCTGTATAATTAAAGATAGCTATATAACATTTTGGAAAAGGCAAAACCATGGAGATACTCAAAAGCTCAGTGATTACCAAGGGTAAAGCAGAGGCAGGAATAAATAGGTGGAACACAGGGGATTTTGAGGGAAAGTAGAACTGTTCAATGTGGTATTGCAGTAGTGGGTACATGTCACTATAAATTTGTCAAAACCCATAAAATGTGGAACACCAAAAGGGAACTCTAATGTAAATTACAGACTTTTGGTGATAATGATGTGTCAGTATAGGTTCATCCATTGAAACAAATACATTGTGGTGTGGGTTGCTGATAGTGGAGGGTGCTGTAGTTTTAGAGGGGGAAAATGAGCTTATGAAAATACACTATAATTTATGCTCACTTATTCTCACTCCCCCCCCCAGATTAATTAAAGTATGGTTGACAAATATTGCATTTATTTAGGTTGTATAGTGTGGTATTTTTTTAAGTGTACAAGTTGCTGATTTAATGTACATGTGCTTGGGGCAGTGATTACTATAATCAAATTCATCTGTCACCTCACATAGTTAACTTTTGTTTAGTGGTGAGAACACTTAAGATTTAGCAAATTTGAGGTATATAGCTTTACTGACTGTATTTATGTTGTAAATTAGATCCCCAGACACAGACCAGTCTTCCAACTAAAAGTTAAAAAGTTGACCAACATTACCCATTTCTGCCACCACCATCCCTTAGCCTGTGGCAACAACTGTTCCTTTCTCTGGATCTGTGTGTTCAACTTGTTTAAATTCTAAATATAAGTAAAATGATACAGTATTTTTATTTCTGTGTCTGGCTTATTTCTGTTAGTGTAATGTCCTCTGGGATCATTCATGTTGTCATATATGTCAGTATCTCTTTTTCATGACTGAATAGTAATTCCATTGCAGATGTTTTCCACATTTCTTTATCCACATTCTTTATCCATCGATGTAAACTGAGATTGTTAGTCCTTGTCTTGACTATTACGAACAAAACTAGTAAATGTGGAAGTGCAGATATCACTCTTCAGGATAATGATTTATTTTTCTTAGGATATATACACAAATGTGGGATTGTTGGATCACATGGTAGTTCTATTTTTAAGTTTTTTGAGGATCCTCCATACTATTTTCTAAAATGACTGTGCCAAATTACGTTTCTTTCAGCAGTGAACAAGGATTCCCTCTTCTGTAAACCCATATAAAAATTACTTTTTTTATAGTAGACATCCTAACAGGTATAAGTAAGGTGGCTTAGATTTTCATTCCCTGATGCTGAGTACCTTTCATATATACCTCTTGACCATTTGTTTGTGTTTAGAAAAAGACAGGCTTTTTGCCCACTTTTCAATTGGATTATTTGTTTTGTTGCTATTTTTAAAAAAGATTTATTTATGGACCTCCCCCAGTGGTGCAGCGGTTGAGTGCTGGGCTGCGAAGCTGCCTGCAGCCTCTGCAGTGCTGGTTCGATCCCTGGCCGCTGGGTGAGGGTCCCACATGGCGCGCAGACCTCTCCTGTCATGCCCACTGCTCCCCTCAGCAGTGTATTTCGTCGGTCTGCCTGTTCTGTTCTCCGCTCTGCTCTGGTGAATTCTCTCACCCTCCCGCGCTTCTGACTGTACCCAGTGCTTGTATAAATAAATCAATAAATAAATCTTTAAAAAATATTTATTTATGCATACAAGAACTAGGGTACAGGCCAGAGGTGTGGGGGATGAGAGGATTCACCAGAGACAAAGTGGGGAACAGAACAGGCAGATTGACAAAATACACTACTGAGGGGACCAGTGGGTGAGTCAGGAGAGGTCTGCTGTGCCATGTGGGTAGCTCCCTGGCTGGGGATCAAACTCATGCTGCAGTGGCTGTGGATAGCTTCATAGGTTGCGTCTTAACCCCTTGCACCACAACGGAGGTCCTATTCTATTGCTATTGAATTGTGTGAGTTCTTAAATACTTTGGGTTTTAATCCATTATCAGTTACAAGACTTGCATTTTTTTTCTCCTATTTTGTTGGTTGCCTTTTCATTTTGTTGATTCCTTTGTTGTTCAGAATTGTTTTAGTCTGGTATAATTTCATATGTTTTGGTTTTGTTGCTTGTGTTTTTAGTGTCAGTTCCAAAAGGACTTTGCCAAGACCTGTGTCCTTACATTGGAAGAATTAGACTGTCCATACTACTGGAAGTAATCTAAAGATTCAGTATAATCCCTATAAAAATTTCAGTGGCATATTTCATAGAAATAGAGCAACTATCTTAAAATTTGTATGGAACCACAAAAGTCTTTGAATAACCAAAGGAGCTTCAAGAAAGAACTAAGCTGGAAGAGGCTACAAGCTTCCTGATTTCAAACTATATTTAAAGTAGTGAAAATAGTATGCTATTAGTATAAAAAGAGATCCATAGATATGTAGGAGACTGTAATAGACAGCAAGAAATAAATTTATGCCTGTATTACCAACTAATCTTTAAAAAGGCTGCTAAGAATATACTGTGTAAAAAGATAGTCTCTTTAATAAAAGGTGTTGGGAAATCGGATACCCATTTGAAAAGAATGACATTTCTTATTTTACACCAAACACAAAAATTAACTCAAAATCAATATGACTTATATGTAACTACAAAAAAGGGGGGAAAATCTTAATTTAGATTTAAATAACCACATGTGACTTGTAGCTACTGTATCAGGAGAGATTAAAAAAATTTAAATATCCTAAAACTGCCAGTTTGGTGATTCACGCCCCCAAGTTTGAGTGAAGAAATGGAAATGTTATCCCATTAGAAGACATTTTAAAAGCCTATTAAAATTTTGAAAAATATAATTAATATTTAACTAAACTCAGCGTGATGAAAGAGATTTTTAACTAAAAATGCAAGAGAAAATAATCTAAAAACACTGAGAAATTTCAAATTGCAAAATGTGTATTTAAAAAAAGTTTAAGTGAAAGGCAAATGAGAAGCTGGGAATATATTAATGACTAACTTTTGAGGATATATTGCAGGCTTTAAAAAATTTGGTAAAAAAGGTACCACTTTCTTAAAACGATGAATTAAAAGAATGGACAAAAGACAAAAGAAATGTAACTGTCAGAGATATGGACGAAAAAATATTCATCACTAAAAACTAAGATATGCAGATCATAATAGGGAGGGGCTATTTTTAAAGAACTTATCAAATTATAAAAGTCTAAAATAATAATCTCATTAAGGCTGATGAGGGAGAAGGCATTTGTAGAATGTCAGTGGGAATATAAATAAAATGGGAGGAGAATAAATTAAGTTAATGGAAGGGCAATTTGACAATATACATTTAAAAACCTTTAAAAGTCTGCATACTTCTTTTTAAGGTTAGGTTTATTGAAGTATAATTGACAAACAGTTAAATTCACCCTTTTAAATATACAATTTGATGTGTTTTGACATAAGCACATCATATAGGCATCACTACAGTGAACATACAGAGAATTTCTGTCATCTCCAAAGTTATTTTTCCTGTCTGCAGTCAGGCTGAAACTTCTCATGCCCCCAACCCCTGGTGGTGATTTCTTCCCCATAGTTATTCCATATTTAGGACTGTCACAGAGACAGAATTATAGCATATACTCTCTTTGGTGTCTGACTCCCTTCACTTAACATAATGGTTTTTTGTTGTTGTTGTTTATTTGTTTTTAAGATTTATTTTATTTATTTATTTATTTATACAAGCACTGGGTACAGAAGTGCAGGAGGGTGAGAGAATTCACCAGAGCCAGAGCGGGGAGCAGAGCAGGCAGAAGGACCGAAGTACACTGCTGAGGGGAG